GTAACTTTGGGTAACATTATAGGAATAGCTCATGAAATGAAAACAATTGAAAATGGCGAGTCATCCTCTTTCCCAACGCTTAATGAAAACAGACATCAAAAAGCATCAAAATCAGATTTTGATGATTCCGCCAAGGGCCTTTTTCGTCGATATATAATCAATTATTACATTACTGAGAAATAAATTCTCATCTTAGAAAAGTGATGAAAGAAATAGGGTTCAGATGTAGGAAAACGAAAAAAACAGAAAATTGCTCATAGAAAAATCGGCGATTCAGCAATTGCGAAGGAAGTTTTTCAGAGACATGAAGAAATATCGTGAAGAAAGTCGAATAATAATTTATATGGATGAAACATATATTCATGCTTCACATACACATGAGGAGAGTTTGAATGATGATTTGAATCAAGGGTTGTTTGCAGCAATTTCCAATTGGCAAAGACTTATAATTGTGAATGCAGGAGGAGAAAATGGATTTGTTAAATATTCATATCTAAAATTCATAGCCAACACAAAATCGGGCGACTATTATAGCGAAATGAATTACGACAATTACAAAAAGTGGTTGCAAGGAATGTTAATTCACAATCCTTCAGAAAAAGCGTTTTGGTTATAGACAATGCCCCATACCATAATGTTCAGTATAACATGTCCTCGAGGAAAGATGAGATGAGAGAATGGTTAAGGCGATGGATCATTCATTTCACGAATGATATGCTGAAGATTGATCTCTATTCCATCATTAAAATCCATAAACCACGATGTTGTATGAAATTGATAGAATTATGGAAAATCATGTAATGCTGTACTCAGATTGTCTTCTTATCATCAAGATTTGAACCCAGTAGAATTAGTTTGGGCATCACTGAAACAATATGTGGCTGCAAAAATGTGAACTTCAGTTTCGAATCCGTTGAAAGTTTATGTAACTAATTCTTCACTTCGTTTTCTCAAGAGCAGTGGAAAAAACGTTGCGAACGCGCTAAAAGTTTCGAAGAATTTTATGCTGCGAAGGAACTTGCTCTTGATTTCGCAATAGACAAAATTATTATAAATGTTCAAGGCGATAGTGACAACGATAGTACCAGTGAGGATAATAATAACTCTACAAGCGATTCTTGATCATAACTTTAATTATATTTTTGTTTGATTTCATTCATCTTAATAAATATAATATTTCCCAAAAAATTGACATTTCGAAATTTAACTTCAACCCAAATAAATTACATTTTCAGAATAAGTACTTGTACCTTTCCTTAATAAACCCGAAATTAAAGGCAATACAGACTGCTGAAAAACAAACTCATTTAATAAATTGATGGATATAGCCATTACTACGTGGTAGGAAATCATAATGAAGAAAAGAGAAATGAAACTTTCTATGTTTTCTACCACTTTTATTTATAACTAACGTTACTGCGGTTTCGTCCTATACGGACATTTTCAAACGTATGAAGAAAAGAGAAATGAAACTTTCTATGTTTTCTACCACTTTTATTTATAACTAACGTTACTGCAGTTTCGTCCTATACGGACATTTTCAAACGTATACAATAAACTAACAATGATTCATTACATTAGCCCTCATATACCACCCCTGTAGGTACTAATAGAGGTACTTGGCTTGATTGAGTACTTGAATTTACAGTTTACAGTGCGGATGTACCAATTCAAAAACCAGTGAGTAAACTAAATCGATTTGATCATTTAACAAGTTGCACCCGCAATGTTTATTATGCTTGTGAATTTCCAAGGATTCTAAATAATTGAGTTTGTAACCCTTCCTTGCATAGTGCAAAATTTCCGTATCGTTCAGATTCGGAAACTTGTGGTTGCATGCCAAGGAATGGTTTGAAAACGTCGAATCATTTTTTCCTAGTCTGAAGGACCTTTCATGTTCAGCATACCGTTTTTGAAAATTTCGACCACATTGTCCCACATAAACACTATTACACTCCGGACACTTAATTATACCTAAACTCCAGATTTCCCCAACTTGTCCACCTTATCTTTGGCATTGAAAAGGAAATAATATAACCTAGCATGTGGTCTGAATGCCGCTGCCACAAAAAAAAACGATTGTATATTTATTATAAGTTCGCATAATTGAAAAATGCATTTTCTATATTCTACTTCTCTCGAATCTGAATATTTCAACAGACCAATAGCTCTTCAAAACATATACATCTTCATTTGACCAACTAATAAATCTACCTTGTATTTGCCATTTGAAATTCATTTCACGTATTTTAAATCTATCTTTATTCATTGTACGAAGTTAAAGCAACGAACTCATTTCGAAACAAATCATTTCAAATAACCCTAGAATATAAGAGCTGTTTTTTACTGAGTGTTAATGATTTTCATTTAGTAACGGGTCAGTCCATTCACAATAAATATGCATGATGTATGCATCCTTGTAAAGAGTTTATTTTCAACTCAACTGCTCTCTTCTTTCCTCTGGAAGTTTCCCACATTTTTTGTATAAAAATGGAGAAATAAAAAGTCGAAAACTTTGTTTCCAAAAAAGTGATTTCTTTTAAAAAATATACCCCTTCCGATACAATTGATCTGTCGTCATTGAATGACTTCTGCCAAAATCTATCAGGAATGGACTATTTCAAGCATTACATCTTTGGAAGTGTGTTACCAAATAATAGTTTTCAAATCACAGTAGCAATGACCTACTTTGCCTAACCGGCCACTCACAGATCACTCCTGATGATGCTAACTTGGTTAATAAAACGAGCCCCAAAAGACAGTATTATAATTTTTGTATTCAACCCAAAATTATATTAATGAATCGAAGAGGTTTTGTATTAAAGTGTATAATATTTTATATTCCAGATATAATACATTTGTGACAGCGTTTTTCCCAATCCTCGAAGCAGATCTGATTTTCACTTTTTGGTATGTCCTTGAGCTCTCCCAACGATTCGGTTTTTATCTCCTCAATCGTCACAAAACGCCGTTGTTTCTGTTTCGGAAACAGGAAAAAGTCGCAGGGACTACGGTGGCTGGAGCACGATAATAGTGTTGTTTTTGTCCAAAAAATTACGACCGAGCAACGACAAGTGAGTAGGTGCATTATCGTGATGCAAAAGTCATGAATTATTTTTCCACGATACAGGGCATTTTCTTCGTATTGCTTCTGGTATGCGCCGCATAACTTCAAGACAATACTCCTCATTGACCGTACGACCATGTACGCCACGGTAATCGAAGAAAACAGTGAACAAAAACCTTGACATTTGATCCAACTTGGCGTGCTTTTTTGGTCGTGGCTCTTCTGGGCTCTTCCATTGAGACGATAGGACTTTAGTTTCGATGTTATAACCATATGCCCATGGTTCGTCACCAGTTACTACCCTTTTAAGCAAATCTGGATCCTGAGCGATGCTTATGCGACGGTTTTTTTGGTCAGCAATGTTGGATCGAACTTCGCTGCCACACCCTTCATGTCCAAAATTCACGAAAAAAATTGCACAGCATGAGCTAACTGATATGCCAACATCGAAAATTGACCTCACCCATGCTTATCAACAAATACCTTCGCATAAAGATTCGCATATTCTGACCACTATATCTACGCATAAGGGTCTTTTTGCATATAATTGCTTGAGATACGGATTGGCATCAGCACCTGAGCAGTTTCAGCGTTTAATCGAATAGCTTTTCTTAGATATACAGGGCGTTGGGTGTTTTCTTGACGATATAATAATAACCGAGCGTGATGATGAATCACTTATAGCCAACTTAGAAGAAGTTTTTCAAATATTATTAGATGCAGGTTTGACAATTAAGAAAAATAAATGTGTCTTTTTTGAGGATAGTATTTCATATTTAGGGTTAGTATTAGATAAAGCTGGTATACACAAATCACCGGAAAAATTGGAAGCAATAAAAAAGATGCCGGTGCCAACAACAGATTCCCAGTTGAAATCTTTTTTAGGGATGGTTACATGTTATAATAGGTTCATACCTAATATGCCAAATTTAGTAAATGCTTTGTATCGTTTATTGAAAAAAGATGAAAGTCGGAATTGGAGTAGCTATTGTCAAGAAGCCTTCGAAAAAATAAAGAACGTTTTACTATCTGATACATTNTCTTATCGTGCCAAAGCAAGATAAGCAAATTTTCAAGAGTAATATAGAGGTCAGAAACAATATGATGAAAGTGCAAGAATTCAACTGATGATTTTTCAGAGGGAGGCGTAACGATAATTTTTTAATTGGACAAATTATTTATGCTACGGATTACAGAGGCCCTAAACCTTCTTGGTGCAAGGCTGTAATTGAAAAATTTCAGGTAAACACGTTTGTTTGGTGACCGAATACAAAACTGGTGTAGTGATGATGACTACGTTGAATACTGATTATTTTTCTAACGAAAATACACACGCAGACTTACATAGCACCGTGCACATAACCGAGGACTCCAATGAAATGGAAACGGTTAACGATCCATTGGATAATTCGAAATCAAAAGAATTAGAACTACACCAGATAGATTTAAGTATTATGTATCTGATAAGAGGGGGAGTGTTTAATGTATTAAAACCATTCATTGCCTGTTGAAAATTCCCTATCTACGCCTATTTTCGATACATTTTATGTTTTACTTTACTTCCAGAGAATTTTTCATTCCATGATGGAAGTCGGTCTGAATATAGTATAGTGTGTAATATAGGGGTACAATTACAATCAGTGTTTCATTGCCCCTCTAATGGTAATTTGACAATCCTCCATAACAATTCCCTTTACTTTCCCAACGTTTTCATCGGTTGTTTTTGTGTTGGGGCGTCTAGGGCGAGCATCGCCATTAATATCTTCTCGACCACCTGTATGCCTCGTATGATCCTAGGATAAATGATTAGAACACATATTTTGTCTCACCGTCAGCAATTTGAACCTCCGTAACTACACCTCTGTAGTACGAAATATTCGAATGCACGAATCAAAATAAACAATCTGATCAAAACAACAACTTTATAAGCAAGATCGAGACACAAATAGTCACTGTGTGATAAATCCTCTGAAATGTTGAAACTCGCTATATTTACTGCTTTTATTAGTGTAGGGGAAAGTGGACGTTATGGTGCAGGCTTACCCTCCGATGGATTTAGAAGAGATAATAGCGGTATAAAGTTACAAGAAGTTTTTGCTTGGAGCAAAATTGATTACAATTGGCCCAACGTGGAAGCTAGGGATGAGGCGATACGAAATGGAGTTTATGTAGCTGAAAATAATCTGCCACTTGGTGTGGCTAAATGGAAAAATAAATTGTTTGTTACTGTGCCCAGGTAATGTACCTAATGATTTATTTCTAGCTGAATAGAAACAAACCAATATTCATTGCGAATGGTTTATTTATTGAGAACATTTTTAAAACTTTCTGAAGAGAAGCAACGGTCAAGCAATATAGCTTGAAACAATCATTCAATTGATTTCTTTGTTTATGTGTCATATTCTTGAAGAGAACACAAAATTTCATCATTTCATCCAAACTTGCCTGCGAATTTGATTTCTTTATCAAACGTAAGTATCTATCATTCTGTTTGTTGTTATTTTCTTCAACTACAAATCTGATTTTGTCGAAACATTTCATGTAATAGTGCAAAGATTTGTTAATTCTCGAAAAGGGTAAGTCTGAAGGTATAGTTCAAGTAAACGATATAGTGCATCCTACCTTCCAGCAGTTCCCCTTTAATAATACTTGATATGTAGATTCTTATATACATTGAAACATACTCTCTGTGTTTCAATATTCAAATGCATCCTAATCTTATTCACTGGTATCTCTTTTTTGCATTGTTCACCAGCGCTGTTGAAATCACTACGCAGGAAAAAAGTCTGCGTTGTTATCACACTCGTTATTACTATCAGTACTTGTTTAAGGACGCCATATTTTAAACAAATAACAAAAATTTCAAGTAATTATAACTTCACCAATATCGAATTTCAACACTCAAATCGGGATGAGTTCCTGAACTGTACATTGACAACACGACTCTTCTAACCATCCTTACATTCTATTGGTAACCGAAACAAATTTAATTTTATGACTCTTCAGCCAATCATAAAACTCGGTTAGTAAAAATTATCCCATACGAACCGTCAATTCTTCAATCCACGTGGACTAATTCGTAGCGGCATTATTTCTTTATATTGGTTTTTTTTGCCTTTGACTTCGCCGATAGATTTAAGAATTACTATATCGGTTACTTCGACTATACTACACTCAGGTGCATACAAAGCGGCCATTTTGAATTGTTACCAAATTATGATATTGAATAACCTTTTTATTTTCAGTCCGATTTTGATACTTTTCATAAATATTGAAAAACTTATCCCAGATTGATTCACATCAAACAGATTTTCTAATGAGGCCCGATTCATACAAATTATATGGGGAAAACAAACTTAGGTTTCAGTCTAAAAACGGATTTTCACATCGAAATAAATACTATTGGATGCATAATATACAGTATGGTCGTAAATAGACTCCTCCCTCTCAACCTTTGAACGGGACAAGGTATCAAGGTCGGAAAAATTCACCTAAAAAGGTATTAATTTCAGTACTTTTTGATTGTCATTGAGAGGGCGCTATCAACTCTTTTCTGAATAGAATGAGGGGCCCGTGATAGCTCGTTCAATAGTTATTTCAATTTTTCATCCAATACTTTTTTTTTGGAAATCGGATCTGCTGATCCTGAGTAATTATCAGTTTCATATATGTTTTGAGGACCTGCATACTAACGATCAATATAATTATTAGAAAAATGAATTGTGAACTCACTCCATTTCATTCCAGTAAATATTTCCAAAACGTTTTTCGTTCACTTCTTGACAATAATGAAGTTTGTAATAAATTCCGTTAATAGCGCCTCCTACTCCAACCATTACTTTAGAATAGACTGCGGCGGGTCATTCTAAATAAGTACATTTGCTTATCCATCGGTTTGGATTCAATCACTTTCAAACCAGGCTCATCATGTTAAAACTTAACAACAGTTGGAAACTCATTTGGCTTGTGACTTATCCAAATCGATAGACAAGCATACGTGGCCCTTAGAAGAGCCCACTATATCACCTGATATGACGCATCGAGATATTTTTGAGATACATAACATCTAGAGTGGAACGATCTGCAGTGAGTTTGAAATATTTTTTTTAATTATGATATTTATCGTCTATTTGCAGATTCTTTAAATGAATATGAAACTGATAATCACTCGCGAATGGCTATCTGATTACCAAAAATAAAAAGTTTTGGCTAGAAAATTGCAATATCTCTCCTCTCGACGGCAAGAGATGCAACACAAATTGTCTCTCTTATCAGAAAGTACTAAAAAGTATAGTCTTTTGCAAAAAAAAGAAATTATATTACAGAATATTAACAGTGGAAATGCTTTATTAGAAAATTCTGAATGAAGACGATGTTGAAGTTATACGCTCAAAATATAACAAGGTCTAAAAAACCACCAAAAGAGAACTACTGTGCCTCCCTTGGTTCATGAAGAACCTTATGTTTCCCCAAATGTCCATATTTTGTCATCTTATATTGAAAATGCATCGACACGACCGGAACTTCTGAGAAATAATTATACTCAGAAAACTGACTGTAGCATGAAACACTGTCATTCTCACTGGTAGACATTCGATATTTCGCTGTAAGACACTTGCGTTATCAGTTCTTCAGTACCAAATCTAGTTTTAACATTATAAGAAAAACACACAATTATTCATAATATTACGACTTGAATTGAAGGGGTTATATTTTTAGGAGTGATTAATTTTTGGGAAAGAAAGTTTTTGGCTTTCTACTACTCCATCTTGATACAAAAAAAGGGATGAGGAAATCTTCCGAAGAAAGGAAGGAAGTAATCAATTTGAAAATAAGTAACTCTATACGTCTTCATGTCACGAAATGAGTTCGATCTACTCATGTCATCGATAACATCATAATGACATTCATTCCCTTACTTGTCTTACGGCGAAACCAGTGTACCAGTGGGGATGACAGAGTTCCGTGTAAGTGAAATTTCATCTCTTTCATTTACTATATTGTGTAGAAATCCTGTGAATGATATCTGATTCAATTCCATAAGGAATGTTTGAAATACAAACTGAATAGAGAAAAGTATTTTTGTACAATTCATTGTTCATATAGAAGTATTTGTTTTGGAAATATTTTTCTTTCGTATAATGAAAGTAGCTGTTGCGAGAAGGCTTTCCCTTCCAGTTTGTGTCTGAAAGTTACTTCTTTGTATGATCTACATAATCTTTCCCAAAAATTACCCTTTTCTAAAAAAATACCCTTTCAATTCAAATAAGATTCCTTTGGCTAGGATTTAATCAAATAAGCGAATGAATGCCATTACGATGTCATCGATGACATAAGTAGATCAAACTTATTCCGTGACATAAAGTCGTAATTTTACGAATGAATTGTGTGTATTTTCTCATGATATTATCCAGATTTGGTTCTTAAGAGCTAATAAGGCAAGTGTCTAACGGCGAAACATACCTATCATTGACCCAAACATAACAAAAACTTGAATATATTTATTTCTCAAGGTGGAGAAGTGGAGTTCCAGCTGCTCTCAACTACATATCTCTCGACACTGCAAATGCGACAGCACCTCTGAACCCTTATCCAGACTGGAAAGCCAATGCATTACCAAGAGAAGATGAGACCCCGACTGAAAACCACACCACCCGACTGTCACCATTCAGGATCAAAGTAGATCCATGCGACAGACTTTGGATTATGGACACAGGATTGGCTGGTATCACTGATAACCATGAACGGATATTTCCCTCAGCAGTAGTCATTTTTGATTTGAAGACCGACAAGTTAATTAGGCGCTATAATCTGAAGAGAAGTGACATCAACGGGTGGAGTTCGCTTTTTTCTAACATCGTAAGTATATTATATTCGACCAGGGGCCAAATTCTCGAGTCACAGAAACCTTTTTGATATAGAACTATTCCCAATGATCAACACAAGATGCATAGGATATCCCTGGTGTTAACACTAGGACCACATCCTCGTAAAATATATTTTGTCAAAGACTTTCGACCTACAACACTTGCAAAGATTACATTCACAAACAACAAAATCGAATCGGTTCAAACAAAGCACATCCACTAGGTGCAGATCCTGGTATATATGCATCCTGGATCAACACATGCATGACATCCCTTCCTAGTGGAAAAATATTCCCTTGTATCAGGTCCCCCAAAAAATATGGTTTTCTACTATGAACTTTCATAAATGTCAATTGACTTTTCTCCAATGATTATTTCCACACCTACATATTACAGATTGTCGATGTTACGAAAGACACTTGCGATATGGCATTCGCTTATATTCCTGATATGCAAGGTTACGGTCTGGTGGTGTATTCTTTCGCTGAAAACAATTCTTGGAGAGTCAGACACAATTATTTTAATATTGACCCCTTGAAGGGAGATCTCACGATTGGAGGAGTTAGTGCTCAATCACCTTTTGGCATAATCAGTGTCGCTCTGGGACCAGTAAAAAAAAATGGGTGAGTTCTATTATGTTATCGTAGAAAAAGATGAACAGTCAGAAGCTACTACACTGATATCAGATAAGTTAATTTCACCAGCTTCATTTTTCTCCAAGTTATAAGTATCTATTAGTAGTCCAGTCAATAATATTTTTTTTTTAAATTTTGCCCGGTTGAAAAATCTGTTAAATTACGATGACTCTCAGAAACCAAAACTTGTGCGAACTGATGGTTAACGTAGTCTCATCTTTTGACGTGCAATTCCTGGCAACGAATTTCATAAAAATTTGGTTTAAAATTTTACTTACCCTCCACTTCATAGTTGACCCTGAGGTGGATGCCACTTTTTCTCGTAAATGAAAAATATTTAATTGAAAATATGTCAGATAATAGATTACCAATAAACCAATGTTTCCAGATGGTTTTGTGCGAAAAAGTATTTCATCGAAAAAAGTTATTGTCAGTAAAAATGTAGTTTATGAAAACACAAGAAAAAGGGTGGGACTATCAGGTTTGTCAAACCTAACACTAACGAAGTAGTAACTTGTTGAAGTTTGGCTCTTATACGTCAAACACCAAAGTTGGAAGTCTCTACGAGAAGTAACCAAAAAACAGTGCATGTTTTGGTCAAACTCAAAAAACAGTGCACGTTTTGGTCAAACTCATGGTCTCTATTTTCTGTCTCAAAAAAATTTAAAAATCTCCCAATTATCACTCCAAATGAAAATAGTCGCTACCACTTACCAATTCACTTCATTTAAGTTCTTGAAATATTCTCTAGAAGTATGACTTGTCAAAGTGCCCAATTCTAAAAAAAAGTAGCTTGAAGTGAAAAAAACTTTTTTCTAATTTTACAAAAAAATACTATTTTATCAAAATAACCCATATAATATCGACTGGAGCATTGGTGAAGACATATTATCACTATATTTTACGATAAAAATAATATACAACTGCCTAATGAGATATTTTTGCTAAAATAAACTAAGATTATATATCTTGAATAACATCTATATTTTCTCCGTATGAGTATTTGCAGAAAAAAATTGCTGGCACAGTTACCTATAATGATTAGTGACAAGGGAATGTATTTCCAAAGGATATCGTTTTTGTCAGCAAAGAATCTGTTCATTCTTAATGCTTGTTTTTGTAGATTCCGAACAGCATATTTTCACTCCTTGGCGAGCACCAGTGAATTCTCAGTTAGTACTGAAGTGTTGAGGAATCAGACGTTAGCTACAGACCCACGGTCTTATGTTCTTTTTAAGGTGAGTAATGGATACTTAGCTGAAGGTAAGCAATCGGAAAATCTATGGGTTTTGTAATGATCACTTCTAAATAGATTTTTTAACTCTAATCATAGTCGGAGTACCAAAAACAATATAGATACCTCTAGGTACAAAAGATGAGAAAATCATATCGGAATGTTTTCGAAGAGATATCTTCATCCCGAAAAATTTCCATCTGTGTGTGGACAACAGAAAGAAATGAATTCTTATTCACTAAAGTAATTTCATAAAACAAGAAAATTCGAATTGCTAAGAAATATATAATATACACATGGAGGTCTGAAAGGTTTATAGGGACTTTTACTTGACAAAGCTACCGATTTAAAATCAATATTGAATCATTTATACTGTAATTATAATAAACATTTGATAAACACAGACACGTTGAGGTCAAACTGGACTCTTTTTTTCAGTTTGAAGGAAATAAAGGAGAACGTGCACAAAGTTCTGCATCGGTTTTCGACGAGAAACGTAACGTCTTGTTCCTTGGTCAAATTCAAGAAGACCTTCTAGCATGCTGGAATCCGAGTACCAAACTCACACCCCAAAATGTGGACGTCGTAGCAGTAGATCACGAAAAGCTCATTTTCATCAATGACATAACGGTAATATACTTACTAATCGAAACTTCAGGAATGGCATGCAGTGAATATTCAGTACAAATTTAATAGGTTTTCTCTGCTTGCGTTCGTGGTGGCATTTTTGTTGCATGATTATCATCATTGTCATACCGAGTTCACTTTCTGAACAAGCAGAAGTAGCTCCAAATGAATATTCTGGGCTAGGTTAATGAACACATCTCAAATATGATCATATGACGCAAAATGCTCTAGTATTTTTCTGCTACTCTGGAAATCCCATTTTTCTAAGCAGATGTTATCATGCGTTTGATATTGTCAATAGATCATGTTTCAATTCCAGTCTCCATTTCTTTCTATGACAGCATCAGTGTAACCTCCGTCTTTTTTATATCCTTGTTGGATGTTGTTACCACCATTCTTGATGGTTAATGTTATGATGATCGTGATGATATAAATGATCGTCTTGGATTGGCCTGTGTTGAGCCCTTCTTGCTCAGTCCATCTTATAATACTATTTGGGGCCTGCTACATACGAAAGACGGAGTAACTAGTACGTCACAAGGTTCTATAGCAATTAGACTTCTTCCCCTGAGAACTGTCTCTTGGAAAATACCAATCTTCCTCTAAGAATGCAGAATCAACTGCAGCTGGTAGAATCAATTCATTTTCTCATTGACATTCGGATGATTAATCCAAGGTGTATTCTGTTACCCTGAATGAAGCAGTTTCCATGGACATTCTTGACCAATATGCATATTGCTCTCGATTCAGTGATCAGTTTGCCAGGGCTACGTTCCTCATATAATTGTCAAGTAGTTTTTCAGTTAAAATGGCCTCAAGGCTTTCGCCGAAACCTGCCAGATTTTACAGAGTTTCGAAGTAAAGGTGTCCTAATCAGACTCCATATTGTCTTGTTCGAAGATGAATACATTCGGCTTGCTAATTATTTTTACAAGAGGATAGGAAATGATTAGTTTCCATTTACTTTGACGAATTTAATGTCTCCTGGAGCGATAACAATGGTACATCGACAATAAGTGGGGATGATGAGAATAAAGTACTTGTAAATTCATATTACTCTGAAGAATGTAAGCTGAGACAACATATACTGCAACTAATATCAGAAACCTTCATACACATCATAATAACGAAAGATGTGATTTAATACAAATTGAAAACGGTGTTCCTCAAGGTTCAATATTGGACCTTCTCTTGTTCGTTTCACACACATCTCGATTTCATAGGTCACTACAATTTGCAACAATGCATTGTTATGCTGACGATACTCAGCTGTATATGGAATTCGACGAGAATTCAATTAACGATGCCCTATGGCAAATTGATACCGATCTCAATATATTATTATCCTTGTCAACAAAATATTGCCTATCTGGTAATGCATCTAAATCTAATGTCATGCTCTTTGGTAGAACAACGGCAATTTCTCGCCGTTGAGAGAACACATTTTCCATTTGTTCGGGGATGTGGGTTGGCTGAATATAGAATCTAGACGAACATTTCATTCTGCAACATTTTCTCAAAAACTCCTTAAAACAAAAACCCTCCAATATTTTCGAAAAAATATCCTTCAGAACTGACGTACACCATCTTAACTTGAGATTCACTTCAGATAGTTCATACAGTACAATTCTATCATGTAAATATTTGGAGCAGCTCCTCCAAAAAATCACGTTTATATGTTTGTCGATTCTTCCAGAATGGAGCATATGATTAATATATTTTTTTCAGATTGATGACGATCAATTATGGATTCTCTCAGACAGAATGCCTTCTTTTCTTTATAAATTGCTGAATTTCAACGAGGTTAACTATAGGATATTCAAAGTATCCGTGGAAGAATCTATAAAAGGAACACGATGTGCTACATGACGAAAACAAGCAGCTTATAGATTTATATGATCAAAACTGACTCTAGCATCAACTGAAATATTTACAATATTCATAAATTTCATTAGTAGAATGTAATATTTTTTGTATCTTCATACATAGACTCTGGCATACCAATCAGCACTGTTTCGGTTTCATTAGTGGTAATAGTCGGACCATAAATGGAAAGATTTTCCACTCATTCTGTTCTTAGAACAGCCTTGAGTAAGTGATGATGATGAAAATTCAAACCAAGAATATGAGCGAATTAAGGGATCCCAACGGCTATAGCTTTGACATCGCATGAGGTTTACTGTTCCTTTCTATAGTTTCCATTGCACTATCAGAGAATGAAAGCGATTCATCTATAATTCATTACTATGTAACCTGCAATGGACCGCATTTAGGTCCCTCGTATAAATAAAATGATACTTCATGATTGTAAATTACATACTAGTCATAATTAAAATAACCCACCCACATTTTAAGTGTAATCAACATCAAATTCCAGAAAAGTCGAAAGCCAAAACCTTTCTTCCCCAAAAACATATTTCATATTTCAAAACTCGTTTGACACCTGTCGAAAAAGTTTCAAAGTAAAACGAATCAAACAAGAACAACTGCAAGTATTATTTGATTTTATCGCCGCTGAAAACGGCTCTTTTTTGAAATGTTTAGTTATCAAAGACGACAAGTTAATGATGAATAGTAAGTAACCCAGTAACTGAAAAGTTTGTCCTTTGTACATGTGTAATTAGTTTTCCATTACAATTGTGAACGATATCAAATCAAATATCATTGCCGTATGAATAGATAAGTGTCAAAATAGTAGTGTTCAAGAAGTAACTTACAAATATTGGATCAATACAGTAAGCCGAATGGTTGTCAAAGATTTTTCATAATATAATTTCAATATGTCATTCCCAAAAAATATACAAAATTCCTATGATTTGAATCAAATTAAATAAGCATAAAAATGTATTTATGGATGTAGCCGTAACTACGTAGTAGGAGATCATAATGAAGAAAAGAGAATTGAAACTTTCTGTTTTTACCACTTTTATTTGTAATTAACGTTACTGCAGTTTCATCTTATAAGGACATTTTCAAACTTATACATTAAACTAACAATCTTTGATTACATTAGCCCATATAGCACCCCTGTAGGTGATAATAGAGGTACTTGGCTTGATTGAGTACCTGAATTTTTTTCACTAGTTACAATGCGGATACGCTAATTTGAAAACCGGTGAGTAAACTAAACCGATTTGGTTTGTTTGAAGGTGATTGACAATTTTTAGTGATGAATTTCACTAGTTCGGACTTCCATTGTCTACTATATAAAATGATTTGAAATCCCTGAAACAAGTAAAAAAGAATAATTAAAAAAAGATAGCTGAAAATAACAATTATATTAAGCAACAATAAACCTAAAAAGAAATGATAGTGAAATAACCTACAAGTAAAAATATAATAATTGAATAAATAAAAATTAAAGGAATGAAAAAAGAAAATAATAAAAAAGTGTAGAGATTCCTATTATATTTTTACTTGTAGGTTATTTCACTATCATTTCATTTCAGGTTTATTGTTGCTTAATATAATTGTTATTTTCAGCTATCCTTTTTTAATTATTCTTTTTTACTTGTTTCAGGGATTTCAAATCATTTTATATAGTAGACAATGGAAGTCCGAACTAGTGAAATTTAAACCGATTTGATCATTTTACAGGTTGCACCTGCAATGTTTATGCTTGTGAATTTCCAAGAATTCTAAATAATTGAGTTTGCAACCCTTCCTTGCATAGTGCAAAATTTTTGTATCGTTTAGATTCGGGAACTTGTGGTTGCATGCCAAAGAATGGTTTGAAAACGTCGATTCATTTTTTGTCAGTCTGAAGGACCTTTCCTGTTCAGCATACCGTTTTTGGAAATTTCGACCACATTATCCCACATAAACACTATTACACTCCTGACACTTGAGCTTATAAACTCCAGATTTCCCCAACTTATCCACCTTATCTTTGGCATTGAAAAGGAAATCAGATAACCTGGCATGTGGTCTGAATGCCACTTCCATATTGTTATTTTCTGAAGAAACCCTTCTTTTACCAAAATATGTTATAGTTACCCATTTCTTGATTTCTGGTTGTCTGACCTGAGGGTATATTGATCTGTAAGTGAATTTACGGCTTTGTTTTCTGACTAACTTCAGGAAAGTTTCTGCGTTGAAAGCATTATTTTGACCTATCTGTGTAATTACATCAATTTCCATAGTTATATTGTTAGCAGACAACGGCAGTGAGAATGCTCTGTGCAACATTGAATTGTAGGCTGCTAATTTATGACTGTCTAGAAAAAATCGCTTGAGATGGTAAGGTCTGTATAGCGTAAGAATTTCTATATCATTGTCATCATGACATTTAGACTTGTTTCTTTCGGTGACATAAAGTCGTTATGTTATGAATGAAATGAGTGCTACGTCTTGTAATTTCATCCAAAGAGGTTCTGATGAGGTAATAAGGCAGGTGTCTCATTCTATAGCTTCGAAGTACACCATTAAGGATGATAGTGTTCTATGTGAGTGAAATTTTATATCATATATTATATTGTATTCATCATGTGTATTCATGTGAAGCTAGTTGTTTCGTTAACACGTTTTCATCCTATTTCTACCTGAAAGTAACTGCTCTAAATGATCTACACATATCTGAAATGAGTTCATTTTGACTTGATTGCTTTATTCCTTTCTACATTTTTTGTATGGAGATAGAGAAATATAGGGTCTTTTTTTTCTATCTTTAAATAAAACCGAGTGTGTGTGGGATATCATTGTTGGATGCCATTATTGTGGAATATTACCTCCTTCAAATGTCCGCAACGACTTTTCTGGTTAGAACGCATCCGAAACGTTCAATTTTACATGACTCTAGTGCATGAATCGCATACACCTGAAACTTGAGGAAACCCCACAAAAAAAGTCTAAAGGGGTGAAATCGCAAGATCCCGGTGGTCAGATCACATCAGCTACAAGTGAGATGACCATGTCCCCAAATGACTCGTGCAGAATATCCAATATGGCACGTAAAGCCATCCTGTTCCCAAATAAATACGGACTAATGACGCCGCTAGCCCGAAATCTTCACCAAACAGTGACTTTTTCTGGATCTCATGTGTATTGGTATCCCCAAATTTTGTTTGTTCACGTACCCATTCATTCAGAAATGAGCCTCATCGCTGAAAATGAGTTTTCATTGAAAATTAAGGTCAGTTACCAACTGCTCCAGAGCTCATTCAGCGAACACACGTCGTCTATGGTCGTTTACCTCCAGTTCCTGTGTCAGTTGAATTTTGTACGGGAGCAGGCCCAAGTCACGACGCAAAATTTACCAAGTTATGGTCTGCGAAAGGTGATGTTTTCGGCAGATCTTGCATTTAGTTTGACGATCGTTTACTGAACCAGCGGACTCAAATATTCAAAACATAGCGAATAGTCGTCTCAGTAGGACAATTATGGCGACCGTAAAATGAAGTGCTCGGTACATTGCCTAAACAGAACAACTATTTCGATAAAACAATGTTATTTGCACGTGCTGTTGAATATCATATCCATCCATGGTGATTTGGAAAAACAGACTTAATAAATGACAACTGAGTTTAAAGATGTAGCTTCAACAAAACGACCGAGATCAATTAACAAAGTTCGAACTCTATACAATGCCAAAAAGCTCTTTTCCCAGAAATATACCCCTTTCAATTCATTCACGTATATATTTATATACAGTTTTTTCTACTCACTGATTTGGGGAACTTGTAAAATACTGTATTGAATTAAAAAAAATTCAAATGGGGATAAAAACAATCCTACTCACGAAAGCTAATGAGAACGCTTTGTTTTCAATCATGGTTCAAAATGCAAAGTCGAAATGGGGTCTTCATCTTTGCAATCATACTGAGCCTTAATAGTAAATGTCAGTCGGTAGCCAAGCGGTTCGGCGTGGGTGCTTTGTTCACTCACTCGAATTGACTGCCGTGTTGGTCGGTGGTTCAAGCCCTAGTCTGAACGATCGATCTTCACTTGCTACCGTCCAACCCGTGTTAGGAATCACACGTTAAAAGGTGAGACCTCGTTAATCCTTAGCTCGTACAAGTTTCGACTTCTGAGGGTTGTCGTTCGTAGGGGTGCGACAGCTGGTTAACGGAAAAACAGATTTTAAACAGATTTAAACAGATTTTTAAACAAGAAAAAATACATCCTGAAGATGTGTATTAATAAATTCCAACGCCAGAAGCTCCGACATCATCTATTCATAAAAAAAAAATAGAATAAATCTGAACAGATGCATCCAATTCTCTAGATTCAGCTTGTAGAAAAGTAGGTACATATGATCAATTAAGATAAACGTTCAAAAAGTCAACATTTAATTACCCCATATATGGTTTACTAAAGTTACCAAAGAGGTATGTTTATTCTTTACATATTTCCTCTTCTGGAAACAAAACAAGCTAAATTAATGGACGTAGCCGTTAACATGGTAGGAGATCATAATGAAGAAAAGAAAATTTAAACTTTCAATGTTTTTTACCACTTTCATTTTTAACTGACGTTACTGCAGTTTCGTCCATTATACATAATGTATGAGTTTGAAAATGTCCTTATAGGATGAAACTGCAGTAACGTTAGTTACAAATAAAACTAGTAAGAAACATAGAAAGTTTCACCTCAAAACAATTGATCTTTATTATTTTAATCAATCGATAATTTTTGCTGAGAATGTCATGTATCGGTCATCATTAAAAGAAAGCCAATTATTGTTTCTAGCACATGTATATTCAATAAGTTATCATCTGTTTCAGCCACACATTCAAACATCTATTCACAAATGATATGACGATCTTCCAAAGCGTTCAAGTCACTGCTAAAAACTTCTTGAAACTTGTGACCTTCTGAAGGATCTCCTGATAAGTGTTTGTTCAAAGAGGTATCGCAACAGTCTTCCTTCCAAACGTGTTCTACCCTATTATTCCGTTTCGCATTATATTTATTCAAAACGAGTTCAAATATGAAAAAAATCATACTGCAGCCCAAGCCAATGCCAAAGAGCAGAAAAGCTGCATAACAGTCTAATAGTCCAGCACTCCCAAAATTGCTACCTTTGCTGTGGCATACGGGTTTTTTCACGTAGATTCGGTCGGATTCTCTTCTTTGAAGACCAGATTCCAATATTTTGCGCATTCTGAAAATGTTACTCGTAGAATTTCGTTTTCATTAACCACTAAAACTATCGGAAATTTCTAAAAAATCATCGAGTTTCCTAATGAAAATGTATATTTTAAGCAATACTAGCTATCCGTTCCGGTTTCGCTCGGATAGCAAAGAATAAATGCGAACGTATTCAAATTCACATTTTAATGTGAAATTTTCACTTGAAATTTCACATGACCTTGGAACAGATTTAATTATCGCTTTTACTTCAAATTTAAAATTTCAGAACAAATTTAACATTTTATTTATTAAATGAAACGTTAGTTGAGGGAGCATGACGTATCTGTGGACCTGAAAGTCTTCCTGGGGAACTCCATCGCCAAAGTAACACCAGCAGGCTGGTCAAGGGAAGAGCTTTCCTTCTCTATGTTACAGACCGGATTGGGATAATCTTAGACAAACACAACGTGAAACCAAAATATTTAGGCCAACAAAAACTATTAGACAAAGTCTATGTCAGCTAGAGTACCTTTAGCAACACTCAAGATACACTAGATTCCTTGTAACTGCGCGTTGATCTATATTGAAACCACAAAAAGGAGTGTAGGTATAGTCGAAATAAACGATATTGTGCATATCTAAAGTTATCGGCATTCTCAAAGGCCAAAAAAACCAATACATAGAAATGAACCGGCTGTGAACTAGTCCACGTGGACTGTAGAATTGGCGGTTCGTATTGGATAATTTTTACTAAACAAGTTTTATGATTGGCTGAGGAGTAATAAAGTTGAATTTGAAGCTATGTTATGGTGACAAATAGAAATCGGGATATGCGGGGATGGCTATTGCCGTCGTGTTCAGTTTAGGAACTGATCGCGATTTGAGTGTTGAAATTCGATATTGGTGCAGTTATAATTACATAAAATTTTAGTTATCGGTCAAAATGTGGGGTCCTTGGATAAGTAGGACAATTACTAAGAGTAACAACGAGTGTAGTGATGTCATTAGCGATGGTGTACAATGCGAAAAAGAGATACCAGTGAATAAGATTCGGATAAATTTGAATATTAAAACACAGAGAGTATGTTTCAATGGATATACGAACATCAATATCAACATCAAATTTGACCGAGATTCCTTTCTCAACTGTATGTAAAATAGTCAAAAACAAACCTTATGAACGCAAGACACGATGTGATACAGGATTACCAAAACCTTTAGATGTGCATCTAACAAAATCATTGAAAAAAACAATATACGACTGTTACAAAAGTACAGTTACGAAAGGGTGGAATGATGGTTCGAGAATGTTAACGCCTAACATGCTTGCAAACATAGGATCGCAAATAATCATTGTGCATTGCGGAGGAAGTGAAGGATGGGATGCTAATTCTTTGAAATTATGTGGAAATAAACTTGAGGATTCCAATGTTGACTATCATAAAAACATGGAACATAGTTATTGTGATTCTTATATAATCAGAAATGATTATTGAATAACGAAATTATTTAGGGGAGCTCTTGGAAGGTAGGTTGCACTATATCGCTTACTTGAACTATACCCGCCACTTTGAACACAAGAGAAATTATAGACCCGAACAAACCGACAAATCATCTGTACCCGAAAATGCTCTACACAAAGAAGGCACTCACATTATATCATCCGAAGATACAGTAATACTCGATAAAAGTATATAGAGAGGCAATAGAAATGCAAACAAGGTCAGGCAATCCAATCAAGGTCAGGCAATCCAATCAAGAGAAACAATGCACGCCAACTAATACTAACATGAAACCAGCATCCTAGCTACAGCGTTCAGAACGGAAACAACACATCGAGCACCAACTCTGGCACTACAACCGTTACCACATGTCTACCGCAATAGTAGATGAAACGTCTGGCATAAAAACCTGCAGACCACGGACAACAAAACCCGTAAAATAGCCTTCACCATACTAGCAACTGTAAGATATAATCATTACCATCATATCAGGATCATGCTGAACTTCAATATCAATTTATTCCATTTATTAAAGTTAGGAACGTATAAGGCGGCAATCATGTTTTCAATTCATACATTTCTAGTCGACCGTTAATAATGTACTTTCTATAGGTGGAAGGATTTTTTTAAACGGTTGAGTAGTTTTGAATATATGCATCACGAACACAACAAATTTAATTTTCATCTTTATGGTATCAGTTTTTTTATATACTATATAAAATATACATTTCATTAGAAAACCTGAAGAGGTGAGATCAACTCAGGTCGGTATTTTAGACTAATTGTTTCGAAAGTTATCGTATGATAATTTTTAGAAATGGTTGTAAAATATTGTTCAAAACGTGATCGATTTACTCCAACTCTTTTAATACGCACCCAACTTTGAATATTTCCTTGAAAGTTGTATTTTTTCTCATTGCGAAAAAAGGCTCATTCAATTTGAAAAATGTGACCTCCCTCAAGCCGCACTTTTCACTTTCTTGGAAGGTATCACCGATTACTTTGTAACCTATAGAGGTCTCCACGTGAAAACCAAAAAAATCCTTTTGAACTCGACTGATACCTTTCTCAAGAGACATGAAATTAGGTTTCTGTCCTTTTGGAGCTATCTTCTGCTGATAGATCGCTTTCCTGGTAGGATCTTCTGCAGTCTAGAAAAAAAATGATTTTGGATCAACTTAGATGTAAACATAAATAACAAATGAAGATACAAAATATACTTTTTTCACTAGAAAGACTCTCATGATAGTGTCTATGTGCGTTCACTCATACGAAAGTTATATTATTTATCAAACTCATAATTTATTCACTTATTCAAAATGCAACACAACACCCCATCAATTATATCAGTTCTCTGTCTCTTCTAAGCTTGTCGCTGGTCTGAATTTCGAGCTTATCAGCAACTTGGAACACCTCAATCCAATGCCGTTGTAAATTGTATAATTCTTGTCGTCCACTGAAGAAGCCTGATAGACGTTTTCATTGTGACGATGTGTCGTCAAAATACATGCCATTGGTGGAGCTTTGTTGAGTTGGCAACAGAATAACAATAACATTTTCTACAGATGTTACCACCAGTCTTTTCCGTTGATTCTGTAGCTGACATCTTTCCACCTTTCATTTTCCACAATTTCATCAAAATCAATATTTAAATGTGATTTCAACGGAAACACAGATTTCAGACAGACAGACAGAATTCGCAATATCAATATCAAATAGACTCCGAAGAACCTTACAAATACCTGCATAATATCACGACAGATATTCGGTTATACCCTCTACAACTTTTGTTCAAGTTTCCACCTGTAAAGTCTTACTCAAAAAATTGGGCATCGATAACATTATTATCTTCCGAATATTGATTTTCCTAATGCAGTCATCTTTTTTTGGCACAATTATCTAAGTTGCTTACACGTATTTCTTGTTGGGAGTCAGACTGTCTACTATACAAGGTTTTCAGAAGAAAACTAATGTGATTTCACCCCCAAATAAGCCTATGAACTTACTCAAAATATTTTATTAGCATTATGGTCATTTCAAATCCTTAAAAATTCTTGCACATCAGTCTGAAAAATTTGATTAAATAAGTTGAATCAGACATGAAGGCATTGATTGAGAGTGACAGGTTGAGTTTATGAATATTCTCTTCAGGTATCCACAAAAAGAAAATCAAGAAGTGACATATCTGGTTACCGTGGAGGCAATTCAGTACTCCCTCATATTCAAATCCAGTGTCGTGTAAAAGGTCCACAGATGAGCACCGTTGTGTGAAACATGAAATGATCAATGAGAATAAATGCCGTTGTTTGACCTATTCAAACCTGAGAATTTTCCACCATGTGTATACACATCAACCGCATAAAAGTGTATGAGCTTGCATTTTTGGCAACCGACTAGTCAAGTGAGTCAAAATTTTTCACCAGGTAATTCAACTGACAGGTTTTATTTGCAAGTACAGCCTCTACTGATGAAAGGAAAAAATGTACAACCTTTTTCTTACAATCTGAAGGCCCTAGAGATTTTGCAAATATGATTTCGCAATGACAAAAGATACTCTACCTTTTTGTGGAGTCAGTAATTTGGTATTAGGCAGAAATTAAAGAGTCGAAGCATGAAAAATTAAAAATTCTTTGGTTTGAAACGTTAACATTATCGGTTCATTCGTAATGCGAAATCTCATGTGATCATATTATCTTGCTTATACAGTAAGTTCACAATACGAAGTCTTCAACAGATCCATGTGAATTTGTTGAAGAGTTTTCAATTTGTCTAAATAGATGTTTATTTCATGTCTATATCATTTATGTAAATACCGACATTAGATTGATCGATTATCTGATATTTGAGAACAAATAAACCAAAAACTTCTCCCAATAATTTTGGTATCTGAAAACATGTCCTTCCATTATGGTGTAGCACACATTGGGTCGAAATGTGGTTGATACTAAGGGTACTTTCACACACTTCACGTCTGGATATTCCGTCACTGGTAACGAGGTATTCATGGTTATATGGCCAATACCTAGGCGTTAGAGGATGACTATATGGAGCCTTTTTCACGAAGCAACTGCCAGTTGTTTGGGAGGATGAGTTTCTAAAACAGCCTTCATATCACTGTGAGCAATTCTCGACTCGTCAGCACTGAGTGGATGAGTGATGGCTTCTCTCGCCTTTTCATTACCATTGATACTAACATGAGAACGGGCCCACAAGAATTTGATAACTGACTGCGTCTGGTGTAGTATAACCAGATTCCTAAATGGTGGTTCGCGGAACCCTGGGGTTCCGTTGAAGGGTCAGAGGGGTTTCTCGCGCTATGTCAGAGATCTGAATACCCCCCAACTAACTGTGGGTTGGGCTACCTATCGGGCGCTTCCCCAGGTGGCGGCCAGGGAGCTAGAGGCCTTGTTCGGAAAGCCAATGTGGCCTTACGGACGGGGTCGTAAGACTCCTAGTCAGTGGCAGAAATAAGTAGGGTGAGGAGAACCAAAACTCCCCAAAAGCCTTTACGAAACATGCCATAGTGGACCAGCCTACCCAAGCTAAGGTGTAAGGAATCGTGCCGACAGCTGAATGACCGCAGGGTGACATGCAGTTATGAACGATCCCCTTGGGAAACTGGGCGAAACTTCATTGTAATCAGCCTACCTCTGGTAATGCGGGGCTCTGCCAGAGGTGATTATCTCTTACCTTACTACTCGTGGGAACACACATAAATGAAACAAACACAAAAACAGAAACAACAAAAACCAATCCCGAGGCTGGACAGAAGTGCTTACCTCAATTTAAGGCGGTGGCTGGGGATGAACAGAAATGTCCTCCCCAATCTACCGCTTGGAATGAGGCTGGACATAGCAGATCACCTCGTGATGTAATACAAAGGCCAATGCGTAAGCGCATTTGCGGCGCCGAGGCCAAAAGGAGAAAGAGAGCGAAAGAGGCAATAGTGGCAGCGACTATAAGTGCACCCTCCTCCTCCCCCACTCCACCTCCAACAGCAAGGGCACTTCGTGTGGCGGGCACCAAGAGCTCCGCCTTAAATAAAAGCAAGGAACCGGCTCCCTCACTTGTGCACCTCCATAGAGGCAACCTCAAGAAGGTATAAGAATCCGCGCAATGACAGTAATGTCGCTGCACCTTCCAAAACCTTCGCGGAGTCAACCGTGAGACACCTCAAGGTTGTCAAAGAGAGTGTGTGTTCGGCAAGTCTTGGCTAACACCTACCAATATAAAGGAGATGTCTCCTAGTGACCTGTCCACCTTTACACCTTCCTGGAAAGGACAGGATGGACGATGACCTAGGAGGACAACTTCTCGGTAGGATGTACAATGGGTCACATGTGGCGCAAGTGCTGTGAGCCTACCCTCACCCTCCCTGAGGTGTTACCTTTTAACGTGTGATTCCTAACACGGTTGCAGAATCATCCCAGTTTCAACCAGATAAATTCTCTCGAGAAAAATATCTGGTCGAGGCAGGAATCGAACCCACGGTCTTCCGATCTTGAGTCGGGCGCACTACCACCGCGGTCAATTTCACAATGTCATACTTCACATTAAATAGTTGTTTCATTTCGTGATTATTTTTCATTCATATATTTTTTCCTTACAGGAAAATATTTAAACTACTATCTAAACAAATCAGTTATCGAAATAGCTAGCTAGAGTTCCGCCAAAAATGTATGCTCAATTAGAGTTCTCTGGTGTACAGATCACTCGTTATTTTTATTTGCTCAGTTTTACTTCAGGTGACCCTAATTTCACCCTCTCAAAACTTGTGCAAAAGGATTGGGGTATAGCCAGTGCATCATAAGTAGGTTTATTGACATAGAAGAAAATGAATATCACTAGATTTCTATCTCAACACCAAACCATTATTTTTATCACTTCGACATTTTCGACATGTGTTTCAATCACCATCAAGTGATCATCTTCAAGAGAAAGATTAAACTTTATCTCCAGTAATATCTCCAGTTACTATAACAAAGGTTCCAAACAGTGCATCACAGGTGTAGAAGAAAATGTTTAACTAATATTGGTCAACCGATAAAATACAAAGATAAATTTTCTTCTGCACAAAAATTGTTTGAATAAATTCGAAAACTAAAAAAAGGAAAGACATAATTTGAACTATTAAAATTTGTTACTCACCTCAAAATAGTAATGTCCATAAACTATATCGTGAACTCCAAGAGATATTCTATAATTGAGCAGATCCTCTAGAGTCCGGATACTCTCGGTCGTTGACTGCAACAGTGCCACAATGTTGGCAGAATAAGAAGTATACAAAAACATGAAAGCGATGAAAGTGAAAATCGTAGCAATCCTCCCAGCATTACTCTTTGGTTCTGTATCGGTACCTTGCTGTGTAATGGCTCCAATTTCCATCAACACGACACTGAAAAATGAAGGTCGCAATGGCATCGTGGAGGTTGCATTAGATTGTTCCAATTTTTGTCTGAATATCATGTCTTTCCATTCCCATTTCACAATAACAAAAACTACGAAAAACGTCAGAATACACAGCAGGAAACAACTATACCAAACATGAGTGTCGAAAGGAAGAGTGAAAACATTGGTTACGTAGGATAATGGTGGAGCTTTGAAGATGAATTTCATATATGTAGGGACGCTTGTTGCAAAAAATTCTACCACGTCTATTCGGTCCATTGTTAAGAAACATGCTGTGCCTAAAATCAATGATTTAGAGTCAAGGACTGCTATCAGGTGAACGAGTAAAACAAAACTGACATTTCTGTTATAGGTCATAGAAAAAGTATAATAATACTCGCTAGTATAATAGTATGATAATACCCGCTCGAATGATTCATAGACTTCAATCTCGCGAGAGTTTACTGTATGTCACTAAGTGAAATATCTCTTTTATATATTTTTTCCAGTTGATACGAGCCATCTGTCGATGACTGGTATCAACTGACTGTTATGTGTTATGTATACACCTTTTTATCCAGTGCCCTAATAAACTAACGTCCAAACATGTCTACTGTACCTCCCAATTCAGCTCTTCCTGACTGTAGATCACCCATCATTCCTGAAAACAAAGATGTGTTGGGGTTTTTATACCCCCATGTTGGCTGGAAAATGTTTGTGGAAGTAGCGTTTAAAAAGGACATCAAATGACGAACCAATATCCAACTCAACTTTGTTAAAGGGTCTATATGCTTGTTCCTGAAAAAAAATAAAATGTTCATGTTAACGAAACAGATATAAGGAAAGGAACTGAGAGTGAAACCCTATCCCAGTTTCGAAAAAAGGTGAAGCAAAAAAACTTGTTCTCAAGCTGCCATCATCACATACTTCCGATTAATAAGGTAAGTTTTGATTGCATTTCTCTGATCATTTTGTTTGATTATTAGACTCTAACACAACTTTAATTCTCACGAATGTTTGCTCAAAATGAATATGTTTTTTCACCAAATTAAAGTTTTCCTTTTCATTTGCATTTTCATAAGGAGATCAAATTAATACAGTTTATTGTGTGATTTTCACTTTGAAGGGTTTCACAAAAACCACGATACGTGTTTCGCTGCACAATAACTTTCTCAAGCGTAAATTAAAAGTCACTTCTAAATCAAAACCATTTTATACTATACAAATGGTTGTAATTTAGAAGTAACTATTAGTTTAAGCTTGAGGAAGCTATTGTATAGCGAAACACGTGTGGCGGTTTTTGTAAAACCATTTATAGTGAAAATCACACAATAAACTGTATTAATCAGTTTTAATATGGATTTTCATCAAGTATTGGCCAGTTCTATTCAATTTTCATAAAGAAATAATATTGAAAAAAACTGAACTACCGATGAAAAATAGATTGAAACGATGTATTTTTATAATATCTTAAAATTTCTCGCAACTTCTACACCAAGCTTAGATCGTCGACAAAATTTTTGGATGGGTTATGAGACTTTAGTTTTTTTTTTAATTTTCGATGCTGTCTTTGAAGATACTCTATTTCCCAGCAAATTTTTGTATCAAGTGAAATCTGGTTGCCTTGACTGAAATTTATCACGATAGATCAATTCAGACAAAACCCAGAATTTCCTAATTTGATATTTCAAGAAATTCTTCTAAAATATAGAAAAGATACCGAGGAATACTCCAATCACCGTAGGGAATATGTGTGATCTTTCATTTATATTCCAGTTTTGCACAAAATTAAATTCTGAATATTCCTACACATCTCTGTGATACATTTGCAGGACTACCATAGACCTGATAAAACTGGTGACAGCGTCAGTAGATTACCTCAAAAAATAAATCCTTCACGTAAAATATGTTCTTTTTCAAGGTTTCCAATTCTAAAAAATTTAGGTTAGTGAGTTTTATTGTTCATTTCAATTGGGATCTGAATTTAGGAACGTCATCTACACTGGCGGGATACCTCAGAAGTAGAGCATTTTCAAAAACCTGTCAAAAAAATAGCGAAACTATATCTATCAAATTCGATGTCATTGATTCATTCTGTGCAAATATTGAAATTGTTTTATTGAAATGGATATTCTGTTCAGGCAATATACCACCGCCTCGCCCTTTTTACAATCACCATAATAATAATAATAATAATAGCGTAGCTAATTTTTTTTTTATTTTGAAGAAAATAATTCAAGGATATCGAAAAATATATACTTTGACGATTTCTGCAAGCTGAAATAGCAAAAATTCGTCGAGAAAGTTTAATGCGTTGCAGCTGCGTGATGCCTATATTTTCCTCTCCGCGTTTCTATTCCTTTTTTACTTTTTCTTTATCTATTACTCTCTCACTCCGTCCCCACTCTGAATTCTGTTGCCATGACGCCATCACAGCTGATCACAGAGACTTCGTGATGAAGATGAAGATGAAGATGATGATTGATTAATCAATTAATTGATGGATGTAGCCGTTACTACATGGTAGGAAATCATAATGAAGAAAAGAGAAATGAAACTTTCTATGTTTTTTACCACTTTTATTTGTAACTAACGTTACTGCAGTTTCTTTGTTTAAGGACATTTTCAAGCGTTTAATGAAACACCTTATAGAAAGACGTCTTACGAATTATTGAGAAAACCTGACAGATCCATAGAAATAATCTGCATTTCAAAATTCCCAATGGAAAATTTAGATTTCCAACGACTTATATAACACCCACACTAGTAATTATGTTTCCTTTTTTTCCCATCTTGAAAGTTCCATCTATCAATTTCACTTCAAAATAAAGTATTCATGCATTCATTTCATTATCCTAAATTTTAATTTCTTGAGTTGACCAGTTCAGAAAATAAAAGGGGGGGGGGGATTAAAGAAATGCACGGTATGTTTTCGTTTTCTTTATCATAAAACTTTTCAGTCTTCTAAATTTTTTTTTCTAATCTATGAAATATCTCAACAAATACTGCTTTTACTATACCATTAAAAAGTGTCCCTACATAAAATGCAACTCTCACTTCCACTCCTGTAAAATTCATTTTTTCAATATTTACCTGTAATCTTCTAGGTGGTTCAGCGTATCCGGATCAGTAATCACAAAAGATATGTTCATATTCATTCCAGCTAAGTCGGTTCTGGTTTTTGCTATAGAAAATTCATCATAGCGTATAAAACCTTGAAATGGATTCCACTTTGCTATGTCATTCTCGCTGAATATTTTACAATTCTCTTCTCGTTTGTATAACAATTTAATGTGGTAACCATTGTCAATCTCATCGATTAAGTATACTCTGCTATCGATTCCAAAAAACAAGTCTTGAAATAACGAATGATTCGTTTTACCCCAAAGTATCCATCTGAATGGGTCACCAAACAAATTTTGATCCTGGGCCTGCAAATATGTTTTCGTTGAATGACGAGAAAATGCATCGCTACACTGTTGTGCATTTAGTTTTGTGTTGAAGCATATTTGCCAAAAATCATGGGTGTATAACAAAATATTTGCTGCAATACAATTTGGTACTAATAAAAATTTTCAATTTTATACAGTGTGACCCAGGTGACAGGTCGATTTTTATTGGGAGAGTGACAGTTTTTCCCCATTTACAGCGTCGTCACTTCAACCCCGGAGCAGAGGGGTGAACAACCCTTGGAATTTTAATAGGAAATAGGGGGCGAGTCGCACATCGTTTGAAAGATCCTGGAATTCTCTAAACAATGGTGTGCATTTTTATAAATTTTGCCGTAAAGTGTTGCTAAAAAACAATGGTTTACACAACTGCCGCTGAACTGTTCAATCAACAACATGGGAAGAATGTGTCGACAGTATGTTTTCGATTCAATTGCAAAATTTTGCGCAACTGGATCTGTAGCAAATAAAAAACGGCAAATCGAACCACAAGTAATAAATGAGGCGACACAGGTGGCAATTCTGGGCCATGTTGAGCTTATACTTTGAGCACAAGAAAGTTAGCATCTGTTTCCGGGGTGTCACGAACTAGCATTCGGCGTATTTTAAAAACCCACAAAATGCATCCATACAAGATTAAATTATCGCAAGAACTGAATGAAGATGATTTCGATCGATGCTTGAAATTTTGCGAATTGGTTAGTGAACGAGCGGTGGAAAATCCATATTTTGTTTTCAACATTTGCTTCAGTGATGAATGTTCTTTTTTTCTGAATGGCACAGTTAATCGCCATAATTGTCACTATTAGGCTGATTCAAATTCTCACATTTTTCATAAAGGTATACTCAACGTCCACAAAAATTAAATGTATGGGCTGAAATTTTTGGTGACCGTATTGTTGGCCCATTGTTTTTAGAAGGCCATTTAACCGGACAAAAGTATCTACGGCTTCTGGAAGATACTATTAATCCCCTTCTCACTGATAATATTGAAAATGACCACAATTATCGGATCTGTTAATATTTCAACAAAATGGGGCTCCTCCGCACTATGCTCTGCCTGTTAGGTAGAATTTAGATCGGACTTTTCCAGATCACTGGAAAGCAGAATTTACTGTACTCCTCCTGCATCACTCGAAGATTTACGGCATCGAATCACAAATGAATGTCGCCAAATCACTCCAAAAATGCTCCACAATGTTCGAGAACGTTTCCAACAGAATATCTATTATTGCATGGAAGCTGGAGGTGACTAAGTAACTTCAACTCTAAATGTGACATGGTTCGTCCAAAAAAAAAAAATGTACACCGTTGTTTAGAGAATTCCAAGTCCTTTCAAACGATGTGAGATTCGCCTCCAGTTTCCTATTAAAATTCCAAGGGATGTTCACCCCTCTGCTCCGCTCCTGGGTTGAAGTGACAACGCTGTAAATAGGGAAAAAACTGTCTCCCCCTTCCAATAAAAATCGACCTGTCTGAGCGTTTTTTAGAATTTGCAGGGTTAGTACCCAAAACCTCCATGTATGTTTCTTTCGGAAATATGCTCGGACACGTCGATTAGTATTTTAAAGTGCCTTTATTTTCATGCAAAAAAAAATTATACAGTGTGTCTCAAATATGAGATATGACTTCATCGATAATTTTTTTAAACGACAACCCTGATTTTTTAATGACTTTTATTGGCTACGGAGATAGGACAAGAACACAAAATGAAGTTACCCATTTATTCAGAGAGAAGTATCCTGATTTACCACCCATATCGCGAAGTTCCGTAAGCAAGATCGAAAAACAGTTCCGGGAAAATAGGCATTCAAGAAAAACAAATAATCATCGTCGGAGTGCGTTCAGTGAAGAGGTCAAAATAAATGTTCTTCTATCTGTCGAATAAAATCCCCATGTCCCCACTAGGCAGATAGCTAAGGAACTCGTAATTAGCCAGTCTTCGGTGGCAAGAGTTCTTAAAGCTGAAAAATTTCATTCATATAAAATAACAATCCTCCAGGAACTCACCGAAGATGATCCAGATAGAAGACTCCAGTTTTGCGAACAAATGATGGATCTACTTAAAGAAAACGTTCTATTTTCTGACGAAACAACGTTTATGTTGACTGGTGTGGTAAATCGTCAAAATTGTCGTTATTGGGCAAACAGAAACCAACACTGGATGAGCGAAGGCTACACTCAACATCCAGAAAAAGTCAATGTTTGGGCAGGGATTGTTGGTGATCAAGTTATAGGACCGATTTGCTTCCAAGAAAATCTTACTGGAGCAAGATATTGAGAATGCTTGCAGGAGAACCTAGTTTGGAATTTGTTCCTTTGTCCTATAGAAGCTGACGTCCCCAATAGAAATATCTGGTTTCAACAGGACGGCGCGCCTCCTCATTTTGCAAGACCTGTCCGTGAGTACCTGAATGATGTATTTCCAGGCAGATGGATTGGCAGAAGAGGACCCTGTGAATGGCCAGCTAGGTCTCCGGATTTAACACCTTTAGACTTTTTCTTATTGGGTTACTTGAAAAGCAAAGTTTTTAAGACCAAACCGGCAAATATTGAGGATTTAAAAGAACGAATAAGACAGGAGTGTAGGCTTATTTCCGGCGAAGTGATCAGAAATGTTCAAAACGAGTTTCAGGTACGTTTAGGGTATTGTCAGTTAGTAAATGGACAACATTTTGAACACTTGTTAAAGAAAGACCATTAAATTGAATTCATTTTTTGAATTAGATAATGTTTGTTAAATATATTTCAAAGGACAATGAGTAAAGAATTGAAATTTGACAGGCATGTGCAACTTGTTGAACCCTTTAATAAAAGTCATTAAAAAAACAGGGTTGTCATTTAACAAAATTATCGATGACGTCATATCTCATATTTGAGACACACTGTATAATTTTTTTTGCATTAAAATAAAGGCAATTCAAAGTACTAATCGACATGTCCGAGCATATTTCCGAAAGAAACAACACCTTTGATTTAGTGAATTTCTTCCATGTCGTCGACCTGTTTTTACATTTGAAATACCTGGAAAACCAATATTAATTCGACAGTGACAATTTGGTTCTATCATTTCATGAGCTAGGCGGACCTGGTGCTAAATGAACCCTCCTCCGTGTATTACCAAGTGCTTAATAAATATTATTGTGTAATAGGACTACTTCAATTCCGACAGGTTTGAAGCTAGTTGAATTGAACAAAGGAAGCTGTAAATATTCATATTTTCTAGATATTTCTGATATGAAATTATCGACTCAGTATGTTATCAATTTGAATTTACTCAAGACTTTTCAATTAAATGAGACTGAATCTGCATGCGGAGGTGCTAGACTATCCATGATAATAATGTTTGTGAAAATTGTTTAATTATTTTCATGGATTTTGTATGAATTCGATTTCCATCTATCATGATGTATCTGATGATAGCTTTGCCACCTGAATAATAAAAACCCAGGTTAAACGAAATCACGTTAAAATTTCATTCGCCAAAAATGTTTTATATGAAATGTTTCCTGCATTATACATGACTTCAAAAACATTTTGACATGGTTTCATGTGGCCTTCGTATTTAAAGCTGTATTTATAAAACCAATACAATAAATTATAAACGCGAAAAACTGAACATGGTATATAGTTAAAGTATAATTCGCAAGTGATTGGAAGATAAGTACATAGTCGAGATAGATATGGAATAAATACTTTTTCTTTGATACCTACAGTTAGTGTCACGCAAAAATTCGTGCCGCTCCTAAAATATGTGACGAAAATATCGTGTTCTCATTAATTTCTTATTGAAAGCAATATTAACATAATTAGATGTTAAAGTAACCAATAAGATAATTAGGTAAAAGAACACGTTTGGTTTCTCAATAATTTCAGAAATTGTTTTATCTCCCAAAACTTTGCTGTTATCATTTCCCTTCCTTCAGTTCAGGAACGGATTCAGAGCACATTAATTTTTGCCATACTCTTCGAATATACATTTGAGAAGTCATATAAACATTCTAAAATATCTATGGTGAATCATTATAATTGTACTTTCGTAATAACGCTCTCCAGTTCTCATACAGAACTTTATGGTTGAAAAGAGATGATTTTTCATTAATTTTTTTCACTCGAGGTGCATGTAGTGAAAATCATGTCCAATTAATTAAATTAAAACTTCCTACAGATTTCATGAAGATTGACCAAAATTCTTTATACCATGATTGGGCCTGCCCGTCAAAATGAACACAAATAAATTAAACAAAGTTACAAGATAGTAAGGAAATTGCAATTAAAATTTGGAGCAAGATTGTAGGACGATAATTCAACCGGAATTATTCAAGGTAAGGTCGTTAACTTTCCTCTAGTAGAACCAAAGGATATAAAACAACCATCAATTTCATATTCTGACAATTGAATGGAACCCATCGTATTTTTATTCCACCGTGCATGAAGAGGCTGACATAGTTTTTATGCGATTAACTATCTACAAACGTCTATGTGATCGTGATGAACCTTCTTCCGTTCTATTGGTAGGTGAAAGTGAATGCGAAGAATAACTAGATAAAAATCAAATAATGATTGTCCGCAAATGTCAAGTATACTGATTTTTTACACGTGTTCAACTAATGTATTTCATAATACAATCATGGTTTCTCTGTTATTGTCAGCGTGAAGTGGGACTACGTCCATATACAAACTATAACTATTGTGGTTGGTCTAGATGATGATATACCACTCTGTATTTCTTTTAATTTTCGAAATGATATAGGCGGGGAACATTTTTTTGAATTGTTTGGAAGGTTTTCATCAGAACTTCGTGAAAATCCACTTCCAACCTCAATCCCAACGTACCCTCACATTTCAAAAAGCTGTAACTTCAAAAAATCATATAACTTGTACTGAAACTTTTTTCAGCAAAATTCTGAAATGAGTTTCAAAGATATTTCGAATTGTTCAGTGATAAATTCTTTCATGAACAGCGTAATCCAATGTTTATC